GAGGGTCAGAGAAAAAGAGGAAGACCCCCAACGAGATGGATCAGCCAGGTGGCATCATTGATAGCGTCAAGTGTGGCAGCGGTAGTGAGGTTGGCCCAGGATTGGATATTGTTTCGTTCTGCTGTACATGGGGTCACTATGAGTCGGTTCCAACTCGATCGCACCTGACAACAACAACAACAACCGCTCTCCCTACATTCACTCTTGCTTTTCTTTACTCTAATTTCCACATTGTGGTCAGATTGATCTTTTTTAAAAGAAAATATATTCACGTTACTACTTTGCTTATTAATATGTTTCACTGGCTTCTCATTGCTCTAAAGGAGGCCAACATTTTTTAGAATGGTCTCTGATCTGGCCCTTACTTATCTCCCCAGTCTCATCCTGAGTCACTCTTAGCTTCACTCAGAAGCCCAGCTAAAACTGGCCTTTGTACAGTGCCTTCAACATGCTCACTCTCACCTTAGGGCTACTGCACACCTCCCTCTGCTGTGAACACCTTGTTTTTGTTGTTAGCTGCCACTGAGTCAGTTCTAACTCATAGCATCCCTATGTACAACAGAGCATAACATTAGGTTAGTCATTTCATGGAGAATCTTCCTTTTTTTCGCATGATGTCCTTTTCCAGGGGCTGGCTCCCTCTGATATGGTCCAAATATGTCAGACAATTTCTCGCCCCCTATGTTTCTAAGTAGTCTGGCTGTACTTCTTCTGAGAAGGATTTGTTTCTTCTGGCATTTTCAATATTCTTTGCCAACACTGTAATTCAAGTATATCACTTCTTCAGTTTTCCTTATTCATTGTTCAACTTTCACATGATAGGAGGTGAATGAAAAATATTATGGCTTGAATCAGGTGTACCTTAGTCCTCAATGTGACATCTTTGCTTTTAACACTTTAATGAGAACTTTTGCAGCAGACTTGCCCTAAAAATTCCTGTCCAAGCTTCCAACTTCTGCTGAAAAGTTACTTCTCATGAAACTTTCTCAGCTTGTTTCTTTGCCTCTCCAGCCATCTCCAAGATGAGATCCTTCAGTTAGATAATCCCTGTGGATTTACCTTCAAAGCACTGATCAAACTTTATCATTACAAATCAAATAATCATACAAACAAAACTGTATCTGTCCCTCCATAAACTGTGAACTTTGGAAGAACTACGTCTGTTTTTGCTGACCATTGAATACTCACTTGCACTTGGCATTTAGCAGTTATTCAGAAAACATTCACTGAGCGAACAAACTGTAACCTTTCAAATTCCTCACTTGCATGCTGTCTTAGTTACTTAGCACTGCTGTAATACAAATACTATAAGTGGGTGGTTTTTAAAACAGACACTTCTTTCCTCACAGTTGTAGAAACTAAAAAGTTCTAATAAGGATCTCAGTCTTGACAACTCCTTGCTTGTAAGTAGCCTTGAGCGTTGATTTTTTGGCTGTGTATGTATACTTCTGTTCTTTTCACAACTCATAACTGATTAGATTTAGCACCCACCCTACCTGGATATAATCTAAGTAAAACCCTATTTTCAAGGAAAACTCTATTTTCAAATAGTATTACATCTATGGGTATAGGGATTAGGATTCCAACACATTTGGGCAGGGGGTGGGGACACAATTTGATTCATAACACTGACAATGTGAAGAGACCAGCCTTCATCTCCCAAGTTCCCCAGTCACTTCCTAGGGCTCCAGATTCTTGAGCAGTAAGTTGTTTTGAGTCCAGAAGGGTTGGTGGCAGGCCTACTGATACATCAGCAGCTGCCCAGTCTCAGGGACCCCTTGAAACATCAACATGATCTCTCCCTGTTTAAGGTCAAGCTCTCACTAGAGAAAGACATCTCCAAGATTTCAGATGGCACATCTGCACTTTCATTTTAACTGTGCCTGATGAGTACCCATGGTTTCTACTGAGGAGGCTTCTCTGGGGATATTAAAAACAGGTCACTTCTCTATGGACCAGAATAGTTCAGCTGGGTGGTTAAGTGATGAATAAAATAATTTGTCGGGGCCTTTTTCACCTCTGATGTTCTAAAACCCTGGGCCATGATCTCTCAATACAGACAGAAAGGGCCTCTTAATTTCTTTACTCTCTAATGAATATTTAGATCAATAAGTCACTGGAAACAGTGTACTATAACAATAAACTAGATATAACTGTTTTTGTTGTTGTTAAGTGCTGTCAAATCGATTCCAACCCATAGCAACCCTATACAGAGTTTCCGAGGAGCAGCTGGTGAGCATGAACCACCGACCTTGCAGTTTAAATGGCTTTGCTGTCTGGTGCATTAACCCACAGCACCACACCAGGACTCCTAGACATAACTGTAAGCTCCTTTTCCCTGTAAGCTCCCAGAATAAGTGCTGCTTTGGCAAAGTGTTAAGATCGTTTAATGTCTGGCTTTTATGTTTCGTCATCTCATGGCATAAGGAATGCTGAATGTTCTAAATGTTGGACTTCTAGAAGCTTGAACCCAGTGACCTGCCAGAAGTAATTACCTCTGGAAAGCTCCTGAGCCAGCAAGAAGCTAAGACAACATACAAAGTAAAGGTGAACTGAGGCAATAACCAGGGAGGGTGGGAGCTGCAAGGAGATGGGAGGGGTGAGCTGTCCTTACCATGTACTTCTGCACAGGGGACTTCAAATACAAATCCAACTGTGAAATCATTCAGAAGTAGAACTTTTCAAACCTATCCATTCCCTCCTGTACCTGTCTCCAACTGGCAATTGCTTTTCCCCCAAGACTAGCCCTGGGTCCTTTTCTGCTTCATGGTGAAAACTGAGAGATATAGATGAGTGAAAGGAATTTTGCTTAGATATCAGCGATTCTCAAAGTTTGCAAATTTGTGAGAAATCCAGCAGAGCTCTTCCCTGAAAAGCCTTCATTCTTCTCCGCAGTTAAAAAAAAAAAAAAATGTTTTCATATTCAGTTTTTTTGTGGGGAGAAATTATATCAAGAAATTGTTCCTGACTTATTTGCTGCAACCTCACCAAGAGTCATCAGGTCTTCTGTAGAACTTTTCCTGTTACAAAGTTGTCAAATTCTGCTGAGTAAAACTCCCTTCACATAGATAGAAAGAAAAACTGTGGAGTAGAATTCCAACACTTCCTATTCTTAATCATTTGGGGTCCGCTAGATGTTGCAGTGGTAAGAGATATCCAGCACTGTTAGACCCTCAAGGGCACCTGTGTAGTACTGACCACACCTTCAAAGGTGGTCCCCTCCCCCAAGGTTCACAACAACAGACACAGTTACTACTCATAGGGCAACATGAAAGGTAACCTGGGATATATCCCTTCCCTTTCCTAGCAACAGCAGGTAAGAAATGAAGGTGAATTGGCCCTGGTTGCCTTCAGTATCTGTCTTCACTGTCCCACTGGAAATTATGATGCACCAAGGGCAAATCAGTCACAGCTCTTCAAATTCAAATTCTTTCTGAACTGCAATATTCTTGAGGGCTTATATTGGCATATTGGGGTGTACTGTCTAGAAATAGACTCTGTTCAACCATTCAGTGGCACGCTCACATTTCATACCAGACAATTAATCAAATGTGGAAGGGGCAGGGAGAGAGAGTTTTATGAAATGAAAACACATTTCTGGTGTGGTCGCAATAAATATCTGTTGACGGGAAATAATGTCTTGTCAAAATGAGATGTGCAAAGATAGTTCCACTGAAGACTTGCAAAGCTCTACTAGGACCTTAAAAAATTATATTGTATACCCAGCAAAGTGCTGTTCGATTCAGTGATAGCTACACACATGGCTTACCCGGACCAAGTAATGGTCCACCTCAGATATCATCTATAGATGGTGGGTGATTCCTTGATTGATTAATATGACTCTACAATCATGATTTTAAGTCTCTTTGGGGTTTTTTTTGAACATTTAGTAGCAATTTATCCCCTATATTAACCAGTGTGTCATCTTTCATACCAGGAACTGGAAAAGAAGATTCAAACACCAACATATATTTCTGGGAAAAGACAACATTTGCATAAGATGCAAATGCTGGAAATGACCCATAAAAGACAAGAGGTAAATATGAAAAGAGAAAGTCCAGAGTCCATAAGAACTAAAACTTCTGTTCTGCATTTCTCTCCTTTTGATCAGGATTCTTCTATAGAATCTTTGATCAAAATGTTCGATAATGGTAGCCAAGCACAATCCAGGGGGAAGTTGTCGATAAAGACAATTAACTACATACTCTGTTCCATTTCTTTCTCCTGTTCTTGACACTTTTCCTTCCTCTGTTGCTCTTGTTGTTGTTGTTCTAGAAGAGACCAATTGTACCTTGGATGACCACTTATAAGCTTTTAAGACTCCAGGCACTACACAAAGAAGTAGAGTAGAACAGAAGCACTAAACATAAGACTAAGTCAACTAACTGGTTGCTCCCTTTTAAATGGTTGTTTCTATGATATTCTGGTCCCATAAAGAAAATGAGGTTGTCCTTTTTCTTGATTTAATTTAACATAGGGAGATGAGGTGACCTTTGTATGTCACCAAGGTGTTGTTAAATGCTGTCAAGTCAGTTCCAACTCATAGCAAACCTGTGTGGAGTTTTTGAGAAGCAACTCGTGAGTTTGAACCGCCAACCTTGTGGTTCAAACCAACCTTGTGATCCTGCACTTATCCTACAGTGCCACACCAGGACCCTGATCTCTATAATTCATGACATAGAATTATCTTACCAAAAAACCCTTTTGTAATAAACCCCTTTTGCAGTAAAGTCTCCTTTATCTGCCATATTCTGAATTACTCACTCTAGTGAATAACCCAACGTTGTTGTTATTGTTAAGTGCTGTCGAGTCAGTTCCATCTCATAGCGATGCTGTATAGGGTTTCCAAGGAGTGGTGAGTGAGTTTGAACCACCAACCTTGATGTTCAAACTGACTTTGGGATTGTTTATCCTATAGTGTCACACCAGGACTCCCAATAGCTAATTTCAAATATATCCGCTAGACTAGAGATAAAACTTTTTACAACAGTCCCCCCACTTTTTTTTTTCATTAAAAAAAAAAATTCCTTTTGATTTTTTAGTGTGCTAAAACTATACACAACAAAACATTGACCAGCACAAGTTCCACATTTATAATTTAACAATAACTACATTTGCCACCATAAGCGTTACCCTTTTCTAAAATATTACTCTACCTTTAACATAAATTCTATGTCCCCCCAAAAAAACTCCCCCTTAATCCCTCCCTCCAATCCTGGTAGTTATTAATAGCCTTTGGTTTCCACATATTTCCTTATTTTATATAAGTGAAATCATACAGTATGTTCTTTTGCAATTTATTTCAAGGTTATGTGATCAAGGTTCATGCATAAGAACTTCATTTCTCCTCATTGTTGTTGTTGTTGTTAAGTGCCGTCGAGTCGATTCCGACCCATAGCGACCATAGTGGCAAATATTTCTTTATGTGTGGATATTCATCTATTGACCAACACCCCAGTTGTTTCTACCTTTTATCTATTGTGAACAGTGTTCTTCAATGAACACTGGTGTATATATGAGATTGTGTTACTGCTTTCAAGTCTCTTGGGTACATACTGAAGAATTGAATTGCTGAGTCATATGTTCTAAAAGTGTGCACCAGGATTGTACCCTTTCACCATACTTATTTAATCTGTATCCTGAGTAAGTAATCTGAGAAACTGGATAATATGAAGAAGCTATTGGTCTCTCTATGTCAGAGGAAAACCAAGTGATGTAAACTGAAGATCCTTGGAATCAATTAGTCCAAAGGACTAGTGAAAAATGTGAACATAAGTTTGCATGACCCTGAGACCAGTAGAACAGGATTGTGCCCACCATCAACTGCTGTGAAAGGGATCTCATTGGAAGGTCCTGGACAGAGTGGGAGAAAATGTGGAACAAAACTCAAAATTATTTTTTAAAGACTGTGCTTACATCAAGGGAAAAATGAATAAATAAACTTTGATACATATACAAAATGGTACATATACACTATGCAATTTTGAAAAATAATGAATCTGCAAAATACCCCATAACTTAGATGAATGTGGAGGACATTATGCTAAATGAAATTATTCAATCACAAAGGAAAAACAAATATTGTATGAGATGGCTATTGTGAAAATGCAAGAAAAGGTTTTCATGCCAAAAGAAACATTCTATGATGGTTACCAGGGGTGGGAGGGAAGGGAGAGTAATTCACTGGTTATAGGATAGATACATGCTAACTCGGGTGATGGGGATGGCAATGTGCAAGAAGAGGGAGATTGGCAGAATGGAATGATGAAGAAAGGTGAAGACACAGAGAGGTTTGCAAGGGTTAAAGGGGATAGAGGTACATACTGCTCTATATTCAACCCTGAAACTATAGTGTTCTTCGGACAGATACACAGGCTGAATGGGTATGGGAAGGAGAGTGGAAGTATTCCCACAAATATATAAGGATTTGAAAGGATATTTGTACATGGGTATTTCCCTTTGCTGCAAACACACCTACAAATGTGATGGAACATAAAGGGGACAAAACGATGAAAACTTCTTTGATATGATCAAAGTTCCTGAGCCTGGGGACTTGGGACCATCATCTCAGGGGCCACCATGGCCAATTGGCATGACATAGTCCACAAAGACTTTGTTCTATATCCTAGTTTGGTGAGTAACGACTAGGATCTTAAAAGCTCATGAAGAGTCATCTAAGGCGCAATGATTGGTCTCTTTATGTGTGGAAGAAAGAAGAGTGATAAAAATGTGAAGATGCTTAGAATCAGTCCAATGGATCAATGAACAAAGAACATCAGTCACCATAATTCTCAGTCCAGTAGAACTAGAGGGGGTCAGGTTACCACTGTCAACTGCTCTGAAAGGGTTCACATGATAAGGTCCTGGAAAGAATGGGAGGAAATGTGGAACAAAAATTTAAATGATAAATTTATTTTAAAAGACCATATACATGTGAAAGTTGGACAACAAATAATGAAGGCAATGGCAGAATTTATGTATTTCAGTTATGGAATCAGAGAAGAATATTAAAAGTACCATGGACTGTCTGAACAAACAAATCTGCGTTGGAAGAGCACAACCAGAATGTTCCTTAGAAGCCAGAATGGTGAAACTTCATCTCTCATACTTTAGACATGTTATTAGGAGGGACCAGTCCCTGGAGAAGGACATTATGCTTGAAAAGTGGAGGGTCAGCAAAAAAGAGGAAGACGTCCCCCCCTCCAGTAAGATGGAATGACACAGTAGCAACAAGGGGCTCAGACATAATTGTGAAGATGGTGCAGTACCAGACACTGTTTCATTCTGTTGTGTAGAGGGTTGCAATGAGTCTGAACCAACTTAACAATATTTAGCAACAACAATGGTAGTTCTATGCTCAACACTTTGAGGAACTACCAAACTGTTTTTCACAGTGGTTGCATAATTCTGCATTCCCACTAGCAATGGATAAGAGTTCCAGTTTCTCCACAAGCACACCAACATTTTTTGTCTGCTCTTTGATAACTACCATTCTAATAGGCTAAAGTGATATCTCATATGCTTTTGATTTTCATCTCCCCAATGCCTATTGATGAGCATCTTTTTATGTGCTAATCTGTTTGAATATATTCTTTGTTGAACTGGTTAAGTCCCTTGCCCATTTTTTTGATTTTTTTTTTCTTTTTGTTATTAAGTTGTAAAAGTTTTATTGGGTAAGAGATTCTTATCTGATATATGGTTCCCAAAATCTTTCTCACAACCTGTAGGTTGATTTTTCACCTTGTTGATATACAAGAGTCCTCATCTTAAGCCATACCTTTTTTTTTTTTTTTTTTAAGCCATACCTTTTGAAACTATGGGCATATTCTCCTTTCTCCTAATAAGCTCATGAATCAAGTCTCTCTACCTTTAAGGAGCTCTGGTAGTGTAGTGGTTATGAATCTGGCTGCGAACCTCAGGGACAGCAGTTCGAAACTACCAGCTGCTCCATGGGAGAAAGATGAGGCTTTCTGCTCCCATAAAGATTTACAGCCTCAGAAACCCTGTACAGGGTCGCTATGAGTTGGAATCGACTCCACGGCACATAACAACAACAACCTTCTAAAAGGAAATTGAACATCGTGTTCTGGTTAGAGACTACAAATATTTGCAGGTGACCATTATCTTCATTATTTAGTGCTCCTATCACAGAAATACCACAAGTTACTTTAGAAAAACAGAAATTTATTCTCTCAGCGTAGAAAGCTAGACGTTCTAATTCAGAATCTGGGGAAAGGTCTTTGTCTCTTTCCAGTATCTGTAGACCCGGCATTCCTTGGAGATCTCTGTGTGTCAATCTTTCCCTGGATCTAGGAGCTTCACAATGCAGGGGCCCCAGGTCCAAAGGATGCATTCCACTCCAGCTCTTCTTTCTTGGTGGTATCAGGTCCCTCTGTTCACTTCTCTCTCCTTTTATAGCTCAAAAGAGATTAGCTCAAGAACAACCTAATCTTGTGAATTGCATCCGACCTCATTAACTTCATAGAAGTGAGGATTTACAGCACATTGCATAATTACATCAGACCATGACTGATCACATCGTATCATATCATGGGTTGATTGTATTAGATCTCGTCATGGAGGTAATAACTAAATCTAACTGCTAGACCACTGAGAATCTTGGTCCAGCCAAGTTGACACAAAACCTTAATTCTCACAGCCATATAACTTGCAAACTGCTCTGTAGATTCATTCTGATGAAAGTAGCTTGGGGACATTAATCATTTATAACTTTTTATTTTCAGGCTCAAATGGAACTGAAAAAAAGTCTTCAAAGGGAGACAAGAATCCATAAACAAAAATTGAGGGAACATGAAGCCAAGAAGGTTCTTCAAAGCATTCCCAGGAATGAGGACTACAACCTAACCTGGTTGCCTGATGAAACAGTGAACAGAAGTCCAGGTGAATCCTGTGATTTTTTTTTTTTTTTTTTTTTTAGTAAAATACCAAAAGGTACCATTTGCCTTACCAAAACGAAAATAACAGTACTAATGCATACGTTAAA